GCATTAACCGATAAGAAAAATAAGCAAAAACAAAAACCGTACCTTCAAGATCTCCATCACACTCGGATTTCAGAACTGAGATCTCATTAGAATCTCCATGTTCTATTGCTCCATAAGAAGTTGAAGCAATAGACAACAGTTGCCTTCCATCAACATATCCAGATGACATAACATCAACAACTTCGGCCATCGCAGATCCCGAAGAAACAACACCACCGATTTCGTCCATCGACGATGTTCAAATCTCCACCCAATTCCTGTGTTGCTCGATATCACTCTGTACTATATCAAAATGACAGCCGCTCTCCGTATACGACAGAAGCATCTCAAAACAAGAAAAAAATGTGTCAGGGTTAAAATTCTACTTAATATAGCTCTCTACTTGTTTTCAAAACGAGATCCGCTCTCTGTTCTGGACAGAAGCAGCTCCAAACAACAGTAAAATCAACCGGCGTTCAAATCTCCACTTAATTTCGTCGACCTTCTCTCGTTCACGATGACATCTCTTCAAACACTAATCGTAAAAGGAAAAAAAGAGATTCAGTCAGCAAAGTGGTAGAAAATTTTCGTTTGAATTAATTATTTAAAATTACCAGCGTGCCCCTACAAATTTTCTTAATTTAGATTTTGCTTATTCCTCCCAAAACAAATTTTCGGGAAAAGATGTAAAACTCTGATGGGATTGGGGAAATATTACTTGGGAGGATTTTTTTAGTGAAACTTTCTCCATATTTTTTTCAAAACTTCGTTTTTCTTTGTCCACCTTTAGCTTTTGTTTGGTTTTCTTTATTTGCTTTTGGAATGTTGGTAACTTTTTTTACGTGATTTTCGGTTACTTTGTTAGAGCTATAAACATTTTTTAAAAATGAATTCCATATATTTTTAAGAAATTTGATTTGAAATTGAATTCATTGGAGAGCCGGGTACTCAACTAACATTAAGAACATTTCATACCGGCGGATTTTCGAGTTTGGAATATAAAATAATTTATTTTCGATTCTAAATTTTGAATTGTATAAAATTGGAGTTAGTTATAGCAATTTTGGGTAATGAGATGAAATTTTCAACTGACTTTACAAGTATTTTTACTAAATATATAACCATAACTCTACATTCTCTAGTAGGGCTATTAATTTCCTTGGTTCGGTTATATGGGTAATTGTATAATTGGTTATAAATTATTTTATCGATTAACAGAATAATCGTTAAACAAGTGATTCGATAAGATTAGACCAAAATAACTTATCAGTAACCTAACTAAGAAAAGACCTCCATTTTTCAATTGTGCATTTTATAGATTCTTTCCTACATATGTGTTTTTTTTTTAGTTTTTATTATTAAATAAAAAATAATTTAACATAAATATCAATCCATGTAGGTCTTCAAACATCCTACTATTTTTGACCTATACCTGCGGCTCATCGATGCCTATTATTTTCGTCTCTAGCTATGAAGATGACGATAATTATTAGTCGGTTAACCATCGATACTTATTTATTGTTTAATCGGTGTAACCGTTAACTACCGGCTACCGTTTTGGCTATTGGTTACACATAGCGGCATATGTCGATCATTACAAAACAAGCTAGGTTAGAGTACTGATCAGCTTTTGTAGTGTAGCTTAGTGGTAATTGTAGTCTTCCACTACAGGAAATCTGATTTCTAGTCACGACCTTATTTACTGGAATCTTTCCCGTACTTCGAAGTATGCTAATTGTCATGGGAAAAATTATCGTATTTAATTGTATAGTTTTAATCACAAGAATTAATTTGCCTGTTTTTTAGTATCCATTTCTGGTTATTAATTGTTAGTCATAGTGAATTACCGTGAACAATGTGACAATTACCTTTTGGGGTCGTTTGAATGAGGAATTGTAACGAATCAATTTGACGAAACTGTCGTGTTTTGAGACAATTGTACCAAATTGACTTGTTTGCCAACAAAAAATTTGGATGAATCAATTTGCCTGAGATATTTTGAATTAATCTGTTTTGAGTCAATTTCAATTGTTTGGGGTGAGGGCATGTTATTCGAATTCACTCGTTTTAGCTGGAAATCAATAAGCATTAAGAACCATTTTCTTGTAATGTTCTATGCTACAATAGCACACAGGTTTGATGCTTGCCTGCAACTTCTTTTATCATGTAGACAACATATTCCGCCTATAAATAATGTTTAGGGGATGACTTATTGTCACCAAAGTCATGTTTATGGGGATGACATATTGTCTTTCATGAAAAAGAAACAAAATGACACTCATGAGTATCAGGAACGAGTACGACTGTCGTCCCTCGTATTGGGGAAGGTCTATATTTTTGTAGTCCCCCAAAAGAATAGAGGACAAGCGTATAGGGACAATTTTGTCCATTTCTGGAGACGAATTTTGTCATCCCCAAATTGGGGGTGGCTATACGGTCCAGTCCGGTTAAATTGGCTCGGATTGATCTGATCCTTGTCCCAGTCTTTTCGAGAATATGAGGATCGAAAATTGGATTAGATGCAGTTTGGTTTTGACCAGGTACGGTCTTATCCCGGTTCCACTCCGGTCTTGATTTTAGATTGAGCTTATGGAGTTTTGAGGGGGTTGAGACCTAAAAGGGTGAGGAGTTTGTTAGGTTTTGGGTGTTAGGCTCTCTTTTCCTGTAAAACCAGAAAACCCGGACCAAATAGCCATCCCTACCCCAAACCTCCTCTTTTTGTAGTGTGGGACTTTGTTGTGATGGTTTCCTAAATATAAGGGGAGCCTTTGAGCAATTGAGCTATTGTGATTTGTGACATTTAGTTATGTGATCCATTTATGATTAATTCAAATTTGTTTTTTTTTTCTTAGTGAGGGCTGGGATAACTATGGCTCTAAATGGATAATGTGGTAGACATTTTTCGTATTAAACGGAGTCAACGGGAACTCCAATCCTTAATTATGAATATTACAAGAAATTTGAATGTCGATAAATTCATAGTACAATCAATAGCTCAACGACGGGTTAGGGTAGAGCCAAGCTATAGCCTATATATTAATAACGAATAATTGATTTTTGTTTAAAATAATGAGTTTTTTATGGGCAGACGTTCATTTAGTTATGAACCCACTTCTATTGTTTTTTAGGGAATATAAATTCTATTTCAATATTCAGAATACAATGAAAAATAAAATACAACTCTTCGCACAATACCACATACATCACCTCGTAAGAGCCAACCTATTTAATTGGTCGTATTGTAAAATGCGACCGTGAATGTCTTATCCCTTCAATGAATGGAAATTTTACAATGTCGGGAAATGTGCTGAAATAACTAATAAATTGAGGCAATATCATTAGTTGTGAATTAAATTTTTGGTTTATAGGTATAATATGCTCCTCTACTATGTAGTTTTATCAAACATGCCCCTCTACTATTTTTTATATCAAACATGCCCTTGTACTTTGGAAAAATGATCAAACATGCCCTTCTGTTAATATTTCCACTAAAAAAATCGCCAACCATGGTTCAACCGAGATGTAGATGACCAGACATCGGCAAATGAGAGCGAAAATGTCAGTTTTGTTCCCCATTTTATTTTTCTAGGTCTCGTTAAAGTGAAATTATTAGAGGTATTTGGCTCTACAAAAGAACCCAAAATATTTTAAAGTGCAATTACCAAGGATATTTTAGACATTTGTGTCGCCCAAACCAAGGTACGACCATGATTAACTGTTTTTGGATGAAAATATTAACAGAATGGCATGTTTGATCATTTTTCTAAAGTACAAGGGCATGTTTGATGTAAAAAATAGTAGAGGGGTATGTTTGATAAAACGACATAGTAGAGGGGCATATTATACCTATAACCCTAAATATTTTTGAATGTATTTCAACAGAGTTTTCAATCATGTTGATAATATAAATATGGTTTGGGTTACTATGTATACCCCAAGATTATGTGAAATTTCATAGTTCAAATTCAAACCATTAATTTGGGAAGAATTAAATATGATAGTCAATATTATTATAAGGGGAGCGGTTACGGTGCTAATTGTACAATAGTTAGCACCGTCCTAACCAAGGGAAAAACTACTACTAGTTTGAATTAGTAGTGATTTATCTTAAATGTTGTATTGATTTTATAATAATTCGTAGTGATTTCGTTATTTTTAATAGAGTTTTTTGCTAGTTATCACGGTGCTAACCCCTATAAGGGTTAGCACCTAATCCCATCCCTATTATAAGGGGTAAGAGGGAAGTAAGGAATTTCGGCACAGTCAGCAAATTTTTTAGGCGCTAGTGCGAATTTTCAGACACCATTTAAAACACTTCTTCATAGATTCAAATCCAAGATAGTGTGATTATATTACTCTTTTGCTTAGACTCCATTTTTATGGAAAAATATCAAAGAACAATCTAAATTTGACCCTTCCTGCTCAATTTCTTAAAATTTTCAACGAATCACATCTTATTCGGATCATTGCCGTGGTGATACGATAGGTAGCAACTATGATAAAGTGAATTACTGAGTACTATATCAAAAGTATAATACAATGAATATCATTCTGTAGATTATAGTTAATGTGTGCTTTTAATGTAAATTTTTCGAGTTAAAACAAATGAGATATTATTACATTGAGAAAAAATAAAAAATATATGTTTTGACTCGCCATATCAAATTCCTCGTTAAATCTGCGTTAAAGAGATAGAATCACAAAATTACCAGCCCGATCCTCCTTATCATTCATTGATGACCCAGATTAATTGGGGATGAGTAGCTAATTAAGAATGAGATTCTATAGAGTAATGTAGAGTTTGGTTATGCACAAGACTTGCTCCTTGCAACTATATCTTGAATTTAATTATTAGTTTCTCAGATGCAAATTATTATTATATTTTTAGGTTATTTCAAAACCCAAAAGAAAGAAAGAAAAAAAAAAGCACCCTAAACTGATGCGTAATATCCCCCCACCCACCCGCCCAAAAAAAAAATCAGGAAAAGATACAAAGAAAGTAAAAATGACAATCACGGCTAGGTATAATAACTGGTTAATTAGTATGAAAATGAAGAATTGAAGGAAGAAATGTAAGCAACTTGATGGATTGATTGTATGATGTGGACAAGTACCTCAGGATCTCACTTAGAATTATAGACGAATCAAATATGTTTCGAAGAATTCATATAGTCAGATCCAGAGTACTTGTCCTTTTGGATTGCTTGTCGTCGTTGACTCCATTACCCCTGTCACTAACAAGCCTGGATGATGGCGAGCATAAAGACAGAGATAACTCACTTCCAATGTCGTCTACTTCCGGCTGCCTCTCTTCCTCCGGCGCCTTTGCCTTGTTTGGTTCCCTCAGCTTCAGCGACAGCTCCAGATCAACCTCCTCATCGGCCTTCCTTTTCACCGACTTCTTCCGCTGCCCTTGTTCTTCTTGCCGTCCCATTAATTCTGGGCCGTGGCCGCTAGCTCTGGAATTGATGATAGTACTGGCAGCAGTAGCAGTTGCATGGCTAATATCATTCCACAAGTTGCTGTTGTTGTTGTTGGTGGTGGCTCTAGCTCTGGCTCCCGCTGCTGCTTGGGCAAATATCCGGTCAGCAATTGGTCCACACAGCCTTGACCTTGTTTCTTGTAGTAAGCGCCGACCCATAATCTCATGAGATGCATAAATGGAGTGGTCACGAGCCCCCCAGGATCCATCTGCCCCATACCTTTTTTGGTTCCAGCAAAGAAATCACAAGGAAAAAAAAAATGTTACTGCATACAATTATTAATTACAGGAACGGATTGGGACATTATTATTATGTTAATGCTAGCTAGCTAGCACAGCGTATTCGAGTACCTGAGGCCGGAGGAGGAGGCGGCATGGCGGCGGTGGTGGTTATTATATCCTTGAAGCATTGGGAGTTGGCTGAGGTTATAGATATTGTTGTGATCACTACTCTCCAGAAAGTGGCTGTGGCTGTGGCTGTGGCTGTGGCTGTGGCTGTGCTCACCACCCATAGCTGTGTAGATGGTTTTGGGGGCCAAAAATATATATCAGGAAAATGAAATGGGTAAAAATGGAAAGGCAAAAATATATAGCCCTAGGTAGATGTCGTTTTACTTGCAAACCCATCAGTAATTAACACACTTTTTTTTTTATGGCGTGTGTTCAGATTAGTGAAAGAGAAAGGGAAGAGAGAATTGGGATTAAGACTTAAGAGCCGCCTGACTTAGCCAAGCCTAAGCATGCGGCCGGTTTGACTAATTTAAGTTAAGTAGAAAGAAAGAAAGAAAGAGTACCTTGATGATGATTTGGGTCGTCCGTCTTCTTGCTTCTATACATCTGATCATCATCATAGTCAACACACACACAAAAAAAGGGTTATTAAGCGCCGGCTTAAGGAGATAGCGAAATCAGAAGGAAGGAAGGAAGAAAGAAATAGGAAATTAAGGCGGGCGGAAGTAGGGGTGTGGTTTTTTTGTTTGGAGACGAATGCATATATACCTGGAGGTGGCTCTTGACATGAGCGATGCTAAGCCCATTAACGTTCATGAGTTGGAGAACCAGCTTGGGAGTAGCTCCTGTAGAAAATCATCAGTTGATAATTAATGACCAATTATGATGAATCAATCCTCTTCTCTTCTGTTCCTCATAGAAAAAAGAAAAAAGAAACAGAAATGACATACTGTCTTGGCCGCCGAGCCTGTCGATGGCTTTAACGAAACAGTGGTGGAGGTCCGGGGTCCAGCGCAGCCTGGGCATCTTGGATCTGACGTAAGGCCTCACCGACGGCTTCAGAAGCTGCTGCTGCTGCTTCTCCTCCCCATCGCTGATCTCTTCCACCGTGCTGTTGCTGCTCGAGCTGCCCTCGCCGCCGCCGCTTCCATCCTCATCATCCTTGTTCTTCTCTTCTTCCTCGCTACTCTCGCAGCTCTCATCCACTTGGATGCTGCCCCCACCCCTCCTCAGACTCAACTCTTGCATCTCTCTCTCTCTCTCTCTCTCAAAATTACCTCCACTGCCCTTCTCTGTTGGGTTTGTTTCTTTTTGGCCTAATCTGGTCTCCTCTGGAAATTAGATCAAGGGCACATGATCGATGATGAGACGACACAAGGTAGAAAACAAAATTAACTTTCTGATTAGGGGCTCGATTTGTAGCGGACAGAATTTTCTATCTTCTTCTCTGTCTAATTTGTTCTTAGTTATGGCAAAGATGCTGGAGGAGAAAAAGGGCAGCAGAGGAATTTGGGATTAGCACAAACATTTTCTGACCAAGTGATTTCTGGCCATTGATTACCTTATTTTCTTCCCACAAACTGCTGCTGTTTGTTTTTCCCTTATCCTTCTGGTACGTAGGACAAGAGAGGGAATTCTTGTTTAGACCTTTGACGACACTAGTCCGTAGCACCACTACTACTGCTCCAGTCCGCGAGGCGAAGAGAGAGAGAGAGAGTTGCAAGTTAGGACAAAAGATGAATTTGCAGTGGTGGGGTGGTTCTGCGTGCAAATTTGCCAAGCCCTAGCACAGCTATGGCTACGAAGCCCAGATTTTGACAAAGGAGAAGAAGGAGAAGAAGAAAGAGAAAGACAAGAGAGCGAGAGGGAGGGAATAGGGAGTTGGACGAGTCTCACTTTTCAATCTCTTGGGTCATGTACTCCTCTTCAACATTATTATTCATAAGAAAATGTGTACATTATTATTATTATTATTATTATTATTATTATTATCAAATTCGTATGTTTTTTATTTTTGCCCCTTAAATATCTTATGTCATATTCTTCTTATTATATATATGCTACTGCCCATTTCAAATAATATAGTTTAGTATATTTTGTGCACCATATGGATGGTTTCCAATGCATGGATACACACATGGCCATCCATGTGAATATGTCCTTCTCTGTGCATGCCTATAATATTGTTGGAATTCTTCTCCATAATTCAGATATGTAAGGGTTTCAAATTAGCTCCAACAATAATAACGTTTTGTTTTGGTAACTTTTAATGTTAAGGGCTTGATCACAATTAATGTGAATTTATGAAGGGAGGGCACGCATGGCATTATTAAAAATTAGGGGATATCCGCATATGATGGATCGAGGTTTTAGGACGTGAGTCACGACAAAGCGAGGTTTTCTGTCAAATATAAACTAGAGACAATATTGGAACGAAGGCAAGAAAATGCAATAGAATTGAAAGGAAATATGAGAGGGATCAGTGAGGTAAATTCGAAGAAGCTGATCAATGAGAGTATCCCGAAGGAGAAGAGGAATGGGTTTGGAAGGAAATATGAAAGGCGGTTGACCTATAATTTAGCAGCATGTAATTACAAAAACATTAATAATTTATGTTAGCATGATGGTAACACTTTATACGGTTCCCCATACCAAAGCTAATATTGTAAAAGAAAAGATGACAAAACAATAATAACACTATATCGATCTATTGTAAATATAAAGGATGGTAAAACTGTATCAGAGGTGTATTGAAAAATTCGGTTGTAGATTTTTTTATACTGAAATCGTGGTTAACCGTAGTTCAACCACTCTATACCACTAAATACTAACTACCGATTTAGCTTCCGATAAAAGTATTTTCTAGTTGAACCGCCGATACGATAAGATTTTTCGATTCTCGGTAAATATACCTCTTTTATGTTTTTGTGTGTATAGTTGTTGGTGAATGCACTGATGAGATAAAAGCCAGCTCTTAGTTTGATTTACCACTGCTAGTTTCTTCCAACAGGTCTGCTGTGGGTACCCTCGACCGGGACTATAGCATTATAATAATTAATAAAATGGTACTTCCTCGATATATATATTAATGTTTCAGTTTTCCTGTGGTCGGAATTTTATTGAGACGACATTCTGGAATGTTGTAATTAATGCCAGCTGCCTTGGCTTGTGCGGATCGCGATTTTGATCAGTTCAACAGATTGACTGTTGCCCTTCATCTCTTTTTCCTTTAAGCTTCCTAGGCCACTGATGACGAGCTGTCAATTTGCAATTACTCAAATACGAAGAAACTGTAAGTTGAATGGTTTTATTAATTCTCAGGATATACAAAATCCTTCATTTTTAATACTAGAAATCTGATTTAATAGTTGTAATTTGTGAAGGAGATGTCTAGTAGTCCGTATTATAAAAGGGGCGAGGGAAATAAAGGATTTAGAAGAGAGCAGACTGGATTTTCAAGGTAGGTGACCAGATTTTTGAGGCATCGAGCAATTTTCAAGTGTGCTTTCAAAGCATTGTTCAAATTTTCTCTGAAAATTTAACCGACTATAACTTATTCGTTTTAAATCGGATTTCAAAATATTTTTAAGTTAAATATTGTAATTTTTATGTTCTACAAAAAGATATCCATTTTGACATATTTTTTTAACAAAACATTCAGATCATCACACCATTGTTCTACACTATATTACCACTGATAGCGGTATAATATCATAGTGTTATGATCTTGATTTAATATTGGTATGATAGTAATATGATGTTGGGATGATGTCTTATATGTTTGACAAAATAATTTGATGACATCATATCACTGTTATATAATGATAATATGATGATTTGATAATGATATTATGTGTTGTTAGTATTATAAGATCATGATATGATAAATATGATAGCGATAATACTAATACTACAACCAACACGTATTTTGATGACTTAATTTTTTCGTTGAAAACATAGAAAAATGGATATCATTGTATAAATCTTAATTAATGCGTTATTTTTGAAAAAAAATATTAAATTCCAAGTTAAAATGAATGAAAGGTCTTCCCATATTATGAAAAATAGGAGATTATAAAAAACCGACAAGATACTGTCCACTTTGGGCCTCTACAACCGCACGGATTTCGACTTGGGGTGTAATTCAAGGTGACTTCACATAAGGTCACCCATCTTTGTTGTACTCCACACTGAGCACGTTTAACTTCGGAGTTCTCACAAGAACTCTTCCATTACACCCCAAAACGCGTCTTGTCAGTTAAGGCCGCTTTCCTACTTATGAGCCATGGATCTCTCCCGTGCTTTGTCAATGTGAAATTTGCCTAAGATTTTGTAGTATATGGGTTTTGTACGCTGTCCGTTTCCTTTACTTATATGTACATTACTATAAAAGAAAATTTCTTTACATTTACCGGTGGTTTGGAAGTTCCGACTGTTTTAAAGAGATTGTTACTATATGAATTATTTAGAATGCATCATTTTTTTAATTTTTTAGCTAAAACCATACATGAATTTTTTCTGCGGTGTGACAGAAACTATCATTCAAAATGAGTGATTGTTACATCTCAACTTTTACCTGTGATTGTTGAGATAGTTGAGTTGAAATTGTTTTGTCTTAGCTTTTAGCTAATGTGACGTACACAATCACACATACTAAACATTGTATTTTACATACATCAAATTCGAAAATATATGTATAATATATTATACATGTATTAACAATAATATATCTATTTAACAAATCGCAACTTCTAAACGACCCTACATTTCGAACATGAAGAAATTCTTTATTGAGATTTCTTTATTTCGATGGTCGTTCATATCATACCATTTTCATATCACAATATTACTATTGATAGTGATATGGCATGATAGTGGTATAATATAATGTTGACATAATAGTGGTATAATGTTTGTATGATGTTGATATGATAGTAATATATTAATGATGGTATGGGATCTTATGTTTGACAAACTAATTTAATGATATCATATCACAATATGACAGTTATATCTTATATAATGTTTGTATGAGATGTTATGTTTTACAAAACATACCAAAATATTATATTATTATCTAGATGTAAGATAATACATTTTTACCGTGCAACTTTTTTATTTTAAAAATTAAGATGAAGGAGATTTGTCATTGAGAAATAGATAACTCTTCCTCAGTATTCACCCGAGAACAGGATATGTGCATGTTCACATTGAAAATAATATAATGGTAGGGATAGTTCCCTTTTCTAACTCCTAACTTCTGATTTCCGAACCTATAGGAATTTTTAATTTTATTTCTAACCCCTTTTTCATTCTAACATGGAGCTGGTGCTAGCTCATAGTCTAATAGCTTGTTTGCTTAATGGATTTGGCGAGGGATTTGAATCTATCATGGACTTGATGATAAATATTCCTGATAGTAAAGAGATATTGATACTGGCTATTTTGGAATATCTACAATATTGTCTCGTTAAGTTTATTATGAGTTGATATACCCTTGCATAAGTCATACTTATTTAATTTCAACAAGAATTTGCACATAATACAGAGTAATATTTTATGATGGATGCTAATTTTCTCTTTTCCAAGCAATTAAATATTTAACTTTATTGATGGTAAAAACTAAGAAGTTGTCTAGCTATTTGATAAAAAATATATAATTGTTTATTGATTTATATGGTATTGACATATAATTGTGACATGAATATATACATAAGAGAAGATGAAATCACTGAAATTTAAATTTTAAACTTTGTTAATTAATGTTATCGTATTTCAACCGGCCAACGGGCCCGGGTACTATCCAGTTAAAGAAACTCAATTACTCGACGCTACTTCAGATATTTCATTAGATAAATTACTTACTTTTCCTTTTTTCCACTCATTTACTATAATTCTAAGTTTACTCTAAGTTTACAATTAAAATTGTAGCCGTTGATTCCGCAAAAGCCTGATAAAGTTCTCATTTTTTTCCACATCGCATGGATGATCAATCTCAGCTTAATTACATTCTGACTTGCAACCAAGTTCGACATTATCCGTTTTATCCAACATGTTAGACCTGTTTTGGGCGGGCTTGGGTACTCTCATAGATCCGACATGTCCTAACTCGCTCCATTTTCGACCGGTTCTTGTTTAAATTACATGTAATCTTAGTCTAATTACTTAGCATTTTCCTTTTATTACAACATATTTTAGCTATAATAAAGTTGTAAATTAGTGAAAACTCCAATTTCTCCAATAATTTAACTACATTTTTCATATTATAGTTTGTTTCTTGGTCTTATAATGAAAATAATGAATA